ATCCGAACCTTAGCTTACTCTGCTTGGAAGCATTGCCTTCACAAACGTCCTTATGTTGGGTTGCCCAGATCCTCGGGGGCTGGGTCTATTCAGGATTGCACATTGTTTGGGGAACTGGGAAAATTGTGACTTGAAAGGACTTGCATGTTGTTACAAGATTCACTTCTGTTGATTCGACTTTCTGTCCCAAGTCACATCTACCTGGAACCCAATTGGCGGATTCTCTCCAGTAGCATTTTCTATCCGCAGTGATTCCCTGCAATCAGTGGTAAATATCCCAAGATTTTTTGGTGGTTACCCGGTTACCCTCCTGTAAGCCAACATAGATCTGGAGTTTAGCCACCATTTGTGGATCTTTTCCCTGAGGATAGCATGGGTTTTTCATGGTTTTTCCACATTCTTTGTTGGGTTTTTAGTGTGTTCCAGCCGGGCATCGGCTAGTTCCCCCATGTTCGTCCTCAGGTGGTGATCACGGACGGCCCCCTCCCAGAGGTGGCGAGTGCCGCCTTGAAGGCGGATGGGTTGTCCATCATCGAAGCCAAGGATGAGTTGCAGGCGACCGGCGACCGGCGACCGGCTGGGCTGGGACCTGACTGGGACCTGACTGGGACTGGTTGCAACAGGGGAGCGACCGGCTGGAATCAAATGCGGGGATTTCACCATGGAAGTTTGTCCGGTGGTGAAAAAGGAGCGGTTGGGAGCTATGGTTGTATCATCATGTTCCGAGTGTATAAAAAGAGGAGTCAAATAGCGTTTCCAAAACACATCATAGCAAAGGCAATAGGGCCAGGATTATGATGTTATACAGAGTATATGCCTTGGTAGTTCCACAATGTACCACTTCAGTTGCGAGCTGAATAAGACATGGTTTCTCATCCAGATTGGCATGTTCAAGTTGTGCTCAATGCTCAAAAAAGGATATGCTCTTGTATAGCATTCCAAGTGGTGTTCTATGAAGCATGGATTCATGCATGTGACCTTAGCATTGCATATCTGTGACTTCCTGCTTGTGATCACACAACTCCCATGTTGCTGTTTTGCGCTGCTTCCTGCCAGTACTAATCACCATTTGATTGCCAGGGAACTTATGGTGCCAACATGCGGGAGGATTTGTGCAAGCCTCAAACCTTAGGGATGGTAGGGGGAGGATGGAACAAAAAAATCATTGGTGACCTTTGTTCCATTTGTCTCCAATCATCACCAATGATCCCCCTACCATCCCCCCACCAATCTTTCACTGTGGAGACAGCTCCAATTTGATCTCCAGGTGTCAGTGGTAGCCTCTGGGAATCAGTCACATGGCTGGAAATTCCACCATGGCTTCATATGTCGATGGTTTTCCCAATCAACTTCCGTTGTTGTTGAGGATTTCCCAGCTATGTTTGGTTCTCCCATCATATTCCCACTAAATCCCATTGGATTCCATGAAATCTCAGGAAATCACATCAAGTCACCATTTAACTCACCATTTAAGTCACCATTTAAGTCACCATTTAAGTCACCATCAAATCCCTATTAATCACCATTGAAGTCACCATTTGAGTCATCGTGGTTGATAACACCAAATCAGGCAGCTGGACAGCTGGTGGATGGAGCGTGGTGTTGCCCCTACCTCGATCAAACTGGCAGCCCGGGACGCCCTAGGGTTGACTGGGAAGGTACAAGTTGGGGGCCCCACCAAAGGTGAGCAAATAGTTGGTTTGTTGATGTTGAAAGCTCATATTTCGAGAGGGTTTCTGGTACCCTTGAATTGAAGTGTAGAAGCATCAAAAATGATCCAAAGTGAAGGGTGTTCCGGTTTTTATTGGTCTAAAAAACCATCCAACATGTAGGGTTGTCCGGGACTTCCTGTTTTGGCTGGTTTGAATCGAACGTTGAAAATAGCAACAATTCCGGCACATGTGAGCCACAGTTGACCGAGTAGTTTTCAAGAATAAGACATCAAGACTCGTGTGACACTGCATGCAAATCCTGCAGGCAGTTCATAAACAGCAGCAAGACTGAAGACTTAGAGTTGCTGAAGTTAACATGTTTATAATCAATATATATGCTTACATTGGTAAATATCCACGATCTAGGGGAATCTATTTTTTGTTTGACAAAAATATCATCATTTATCATTATATATATATATATCAGTTGGAGCATCTTTAGAATCTTTGGATTTCATGTCTGGAGCTGGAGACCACGAAGCGCTGAGGTTTGGAACATGACCCACTTCGATCGCTTGTTGTTCCTGGACGCTGACACTCTGATCTTAGGCCACTCTGAAATTAAAGAACCAACGTATATTATACCATTTTAATCCATTACATATATATATATATATATTAATATATAATAATATATATATATATTACATATATACTTGAAGGTCCATCCTGTTTATTAAATTGATAGCCCGGATATGGCAGTTACTATTTGTGCTAAGACTGGTTATAAGCAGGGTTAATATCTTGGCTACATGGCTTATAAGTGATCTATGTGGCATTGTTGATTTGACCAACTTACTAACTGATTTGGTTTAGATAATATGTGTTGTAATGTTGTAACTGAATAGTTGAATTATTATATGGAATAGTAGAATTAACATCGTTTAAATTCTAAGTTGTCTAATTCAGTTAGTCCACTTAGGAGCATTTTTTGAGTTATGTATTAGTATTGCAAGAAAAAAAACATATGGCATCATTGTTTCAGACATAGTGTATGTATATATACATATATACTGTATATATATATATATATAGCTTTTTGGTTTATTTGTTCAAACCCCTTGTCATCGGGCCAAAGCGTCGGCCAGGCCCATGTGCCAGGTCACCAGCCGCTGGTTCCACAGCACCAGGTGCCAACCCCTCTGCAGCTTTTGCCAAGGATGCAGGTTTGGTCTTGCTCTTCTGACAGTTCTTCAAGTCCTGTTTTTTTTTGCATGCATGCATGTTCATGAATATAGTCTTGCTGGCAGGGTAATTTTGATCGCCAGCATAGACAATTATATGCATGAAGTTGCTGGATCAATCGTGTTTGTCTTATATCCGTATGTACAATAATCAACATCAACAAAACCCAAATTTGACATAAAATCTTGAGACTTCAACAATCCAGTCTGCGGATTTTCTATGAACCAAAACTGAGGCTTGAAGTAATTGATTATCTCCAGCGTTTTTTCACAACTTTATTTGCATAGTCTATCTTCCTAATTCCAAAGGTTATTGCGATGCTGTATTCAATACAAGGTGGGGAAGCCCATTTAATGTCTATTTCATTAGGGTCAAGTTTGGTATAATCCCATTCCAATATATCGGTAGTTTATTTGAATCTAATGAGACGACATTCTAACCTAAAATTCAGCAACTTTTCCAACTGAGCCTGTCCATGAAAATAATTCCAATAATATTTCACTCATTTTATATATTTGTAGACTGCCATCCGCCTCCTCATCTTAATCTGTCTGCCCATCTTCATAATCATATTTTATATATATATATTCATCATGATCATCCTGTCCTCCTCTTCCTCCTCCTCCTTGTCGTCGGCTTCATCCATATCTTCATTTTCATCTTTATCAAGCATTGCGCCCACCGCTGGCGCCCAGGCCCCGACTTCCTTCTTCCACTCAGCGTCCGTGAAGCTGTTCTACCAGCAATTGGACGCCGAGCAGGACGTTCATGATTGTGGTTTATGGTGTTAATTTTGCTGGGGTTTTGTTTACGATGTTCATGTGATTTTAAAGTTTTTTGCATTTTCACTGTGTTTGATTATGTTTTGGGCACAATGTTCATTGTTTACAATGTTCACTGTGTTTACGATGTTCATTGTTTACGATGTTCATGTGTTTGCTGGCTTTCTCTTTTTCTTGACTCTAGTTTTACCCCCTGCGGCATCTTTCTCTTTCTTTTGAAAATAGTTCTTTCCATGTGGCATTTGCAATGGCTTTGCCTACGGGGCATGGCTTTCTCTTTTTCCCGAGAGCGTCTGAGCGCAGGGTTCTTCCAATAGTGGGGGTCTGTATCTCATCTTCTCATCTTCACACCTTCTCATCTTCACATCTTCACATCTTCTCATCTTCACACCTTCTCATCTTCACATCTGCTCATCTTCACATCTGCTCATCTTCACATCTTCTCATCTTCACATCTGCTCATCTTCACATCTGCTCATCTTCACATCTTCTCATCTTCACATCTGCTCATCTTCACACCTGCTCATCTTTCCCATCACATCTGCTCATCTTCACATCTGCTCATCTTCACATCTGCTCATCTTCACATCTGCTCATCTTCACATCTGCTCATCTTCACATCTGCTCATCTTCACATCTGCTCATCTTCACATCTTCTCATCTTCACATCTGCTCATCTTCACATCTGCTCATCTTCACATCTTCACATACTCACATCTTCTCTTTCTCTCTCTCGCACTCACATCTTCACATACTCACATCTTCTCTCTCTCTCTCTCTCTGTCTCTCTCTCCTCTTTCCTCTCTCCTTTCTCTCTCTCCTTTCTCTCTTCCTTTTCTCTCTCTCGCCTTCTTTATCTTTCTCTCTTTAGGCCGAGGGTGGTGCCGGCGGGGAGTCACGAAACGTCAACCCTTTCGCACGAAACGAGGGTCGATCGTCAAAAACTGAAGAAAAATTGCGATTTTACTTGTGCTGGAGCAACCCTTTCGCACGAAATGAGGGTCGATCGTCAAAAACTGAGGAAAAATTGCGATTTTACTTGTGCCGGACTTGTCCTGGAGCAACCCTTTCGCACGAAATGATGGTCGATGGTCAAAAACTGAAGAAAAATTGCGATTTTACTTGTGCCGGAGCAACCCTTTCGCACGAAACGAGGATCGATCGTCAAAAACTGAGGGAAAATTGCGATTTTACTTGATTTTACTTGTGCTGGAGCAACCATTTCGCACGAAATGAGGGTCGATCGTCAAAAACTGAGGAAAAATTGCGATTTTACTTGTGCTGGAGCAACGTTTTCGCACGAAATGAGGGTCGATGCGCAAAAACTGAGGAAAAATTGCGATTTTACATTTTACTTGTCCTGGAGCAACCCTTTCGCACGAAATGAGGGTCGATGCGCAAAAACTGATGAGGTAAAATTGCGATTTTACTTGTGCTGGAGCAACACTTTCGCACGAAGCGAGGCTCGATGTGCAAAAACCGAGGTAAAATTGCGATTTTACTTGTGCCGGACTTGTCCTGGAGCAACCCTTTCGCACGAAATGAGGGTCGATCGTCAAAAACTGAGGAAAAATTGCGATTTTACTTGTGCCGGACTTGTCCTGGAGCAACCCTTTCGCACGAAATGATGGTCGATGGTCAAAAACTGAGGAAAAATTGCGATTTTACTTGTGCCGGACTTGTCCTGGAGCAACCCTTTCGCACGAAATGAGGGTCGATCGTCAAAAACTGTGAGGAAAAATTGCGATTTTACTTGTGCCGGACTTGTCCTGGAGCAACCCTTTCGCACGAAATGAGGGTCGATGCGCAAAAACTGAGGTAAAATTGCGATTTTACTTGTGCCGGAGCAACACTTTCGCACGAAACGAGGCTCGATGTGCAAAAACCGAGGTAAAATTGCGATGTAACTGGTGTTGGATGTAAAAGGGTGTGAGTGTAAGAGTGTGAGCGTTTGTGTGTGAGAGCGTCTGTGTGTAAATGGGGTCCGTGTGTCGCAGCTTCTGTGTGTCAAAGGGTTTCTGTGTCAAAGTGTTTGTGTGTAAAAGGGTTTGTGTGTAAAAGTTTCTGTCTGTGTGTAAGAGGGTCTGTGTGTAAAAGTGTTCGTGTGCAAAAGGGTGTGTGTGTGTGTACAAGCGTCTGTGTGTAAAAGGGTCTGTGTGTGAAAGCAAGCTGTCAGGAACTGATAGCGCCTTAAGTTAAACAGCGTGCAAAAATTTTATGAAAATGTTTGAGCCAAGAAAAATTATACCGCTTTGAAAAACACACGCGTACCAATTTCATATGCCTGGGTACATGCCCAGTGAAAACCCTTCGATGTTTTGGAACCTTCGTACACCTGTTGTTGGCTTTATCTCACGCGATATGTGCATGTCTCTTGTTCCATGTGTGCGAGCGCGTTCGGATGATCGAACTCTGCGTTTTATTTTCTTATTTATTTCACGTGTTTGGAATTTAAATCTTGGAGATGTTCCAACCTCTGGGATGTACCACAGTTTGAATGCAACATGTTTTTGTGATGTCTCTTGTATCCAAACAAACGTGAAACGATTTCAGTGATGTCTGTTTAATCTGTTCAGTGGTCATTCTGTCATTCACTCTTTTTCACAAGTGACGTTTGGTTCCAAGTGGGTTTTTGTCCCACCCAATCTTCGATTCCCGCCCTTTGCATACGTTGGGTTTTGATGCAGACGCCAGAGATCGTCAACTTCACAGTTATGGCTACGGTTGGGGTCGCCTTTCTTCAGCAACAACTCAGTGATAACACTGCAAGTCGTGTGCGACAATTCGAGCAAATTGTTGCAGCATGTGCGGCCGTGCTGCAATTCCTTGGAAGGCCTCGCTTCCTCGACTCCCTGTTCCAATTGTGGAGCGGGCTGACTCATTCGTTGATTTTGATGGAGGCCCTCCTCTTTCCTGAGCAGCCAGTGCAGACCAGTTCTCAGCTCGCTTTGCCAAGGGAGAACCTTCCACTGTCCTCTATTATGGACGACCGGTTCCAGCAATGGGCACCGCTCATACCCTTGGCTATCCAAAGCCTTGCTGAATATACAGACTGGTTCCACGAGAAGTACGATGAGAACCTTCACAAAGAAATGGCTGCACTTTTGGACGACGCTATGTTACTTTTCCAAAGTATTTACCAAATTTTGCAGCTACGGCCAGACGCTACAGCTGCTGCTCATGCTGCACCTGATACAGGGGGCCCCGATACCGCCCCTACTGTCGTCATCGCGCCCTTTGCATTACCCGACACTGTCACACCTGCTGATCCTTGGACATCAACCTGACGGAGTACAAGTGACAGAGTACGTACGGGTGACATGCCTGTGGAAGCTGCTGGATATGTTTTCTTTACAAATTGCCACTTTGGCCATGTGACCGATGCAGGTCGTTTGATGTTTTCGAATGGAAATGAAATGTGGAAGATGTGGCGAAAGATCGTCACGATGGATGTGAAATCCAGCATGGAACAGCTTGAGATTCTCCCCACGCTGTGTCAAAAAAGAATGAGCGAGTGTTTGCATTCTGAATCCAACAGTGCTGTCATTTTCCGCATGTGCACATGTCGTTTTTGTTTGGGGTTTTATGTTTTCTTTTCGAACTTGTTTCGATTTGTAACTTGGAAGGATGACTTCTACACTTGGCGTCGTAGCGTGTAACTTAAGTGCCTGTATGTAAAAGCTTCTGTGTGTGAAAGCTTTTGTGTGTAAAAGCTTCTGTGTGTAAAAGCTTCTGTGTGTAAAAGCTTTTGTGTGTAAAAGCTTCTGTGTGTAAAATCGTCTGTGTGTAAAAGCTTCTGTGTGTAAAATTGTTTGCGATGCAAACTATTGTCTTGCACTTCTGCTATTTTGTCTTGATACGCCTCTTCTCGACTGCCTATAACACATCTTTAATATATTGTTTTGTAATATGGTGTCTCCATACTAACAAGAGAAAACCCTGCTCCCCTACGCTCTCGGGCCATCCGTCGTCTAGTTCAGTTGGAAACAGCTAGATGCTGCAGCTTTGAGCAAGGAAAAGTGTTGGTTCCCACTCGCAGTCATCAGATCTACAGTGGTGGCTTCTCTTCGTGGGGTCACCAATGTTTGGCCTCAACTCTTGGATTGTCTACTGTATATATATATATACACACTTCTGCGTGACTTGTTTCACCCCAAAAATATAAGTGATATATTTGGTGTCAACGCGATCATCAATAATGAACAAATAAAAAAAATACCATGATTGAACATACTAGGGAATAAAATTATTATATGTATATATATATATATATATTCATTCCCGCAAATGTTTTCAATTCATGATAACCCAGGATACCTTCTTTGGCCAGAACAGCTTCGAAGATGGGATCATGATCAATTACCGTGGTGAAGCCTTCTGGTCTTTTTGACAGCTTAGCATCTTGATTGCTGACGAAGTTGCGATCAAGCAGAGCATCGAATCTAAGGGGGCGGCAGCCAGACTCTTTTGCTGTCGCTGTTGGAACGTGATCAGCAGGTTCTCATGGGATAACGCTGTGGGCACGAGTGTGGGCATGCACGGATGTTTCTCAGTTCAGGCTGCACACCAATGAATTTGTGCAGAAGGTCGTTAAGTACTTGGAGGAACAACATGAGAGGATGTCAAGTCAGCAGCTTGAGACCCAGCTTGGCTACAACTGGATACCTTCAGGCCCGCTGAAAATTTCAGTACACGGCCGGATCATTCCTGACTGTATCATGTTCGGTTGGTTCCAAATCGTGAGTTTGCGCTTCTTTCGGAGCTCTGGTGCAGGTTGGGCTCGGTGGTCGCCTGGAAACTATTCTGGCTTCTCTTGAGTGGCCCAAGCAATTTCAGGCTTCGAAGCCTACCAAGATCTTTGGCAAGAGAGATAGCAGCATTGGGCCCTTACGGGATCATCAGGGTTTTCATTGTGCAGTTTGTCTGGGAACAGCATCCACAAGCGCGGCCAGCTTGCAAGACTGCTCTGAAATTCTGCGAAATCTTGATCATCTCAGTGCATTGCATCGTGGCGGAACATGCGCGCCCATTGATCTCCATGCTGTCATCAAGGACTATCTCGACAGCTTTGTGGCTGTCAATGGGGATGAGTTTTGGGTCCCAAAGTGCCATATAACACTTCATCTTAACGAGTTTCTCAGGCATCATGGGACGTTGCTATCATGCTTTGCCCATGATCGCAAGCAACGCTTCGTCAAGAGATTTGGAAACCCAGTCAACAATGTCATTCAGAGCTTTGAAAAATCAATCCTCAGCGACATCATTCATGCTCAAGTACGTGAATTTGGTGAAGAGGCTGTTGGTCTTGGCTTGTCGCTCTTCAAGGATAAGAAAGTTGCCAAAGGCAAGATGGATTGGCGCAGTGACATGTTGGGAAGCTCTGATTGTTTCACATCCATTCGTGCTCAAGGCCCTGGAGGCCATCTTGTGCAAAAGGATGATGTTGTGGAGTATCTTGAGGGTGATGGGCCGCCTTCAGTGGGTCAGGTGATGTACCACGTCAGACATGGATCCACGTTGCTGAACGTTTTGTGCCCTTGGGACCGAGTACATGACACCATGTTCAAAGTTAAACATGATCCAGCCGTGATTCTCTTGAGTTATGTTGTCCAATGCTTGGATATGTCATGTCCCTGCTCACGAGCACTATTGGCCCTCTAAGCGCGATCTAAATAACATGGCTGTAACCAATCATTCGTGTATATTCCAACACGGTATTTCCAAACTAATAGGGGAAAATAAAATGTACACCCAGAGAATTTTTTCAGCAATGCGCCCTCCATTCGTTTAAAACCTGTATCACCCAGAGTATCTGCCCACGCGCAGGTGCTGTGGTGCTGGCGGCCGGTGACTGGCTGCAGGGCATGGGGCCTGTTGGGATTTATAGTTTTAACTTATATATAAATATACCCATACTTAGCTCAGATACTAAGTCTGCTAAGTTTGATATAGCTAAGTGAGCTAACTAGATAGTATCTATAGCTCACTACTTAGTACATTAGCTATCTTTGTTATTAACCTACATGAGCCTTCAAGTATATGTATATATATATATATATTTATGTATATGTATTTATTCATATATGTATTATATGTATATTATATAATTATATTTATACTCCATTATAAACTTAACTGCTCGGGGGTATACCAGCCAGACTACTTTTGGTCTCCTGAAAGCAACTGGACCTGGAGGACGTGGAACTGGTCAACTTCCCTTGGTGAATTCATGTGAATGAATGTGACTGACAGCGAGAATCTGATATAGAAGCTAAGTTTTTTTTTGTAAACCACAGATTGTATCACATCTGATGGAGAGTAAAATGATACGATCTCATATATATATACATGTAAAATGATCTTCAACATACATATATATATATGATGTTTTTCTATTTTCTTATACTACATATATATTATTTATTATATGTACATATATATATATTAAATATATTTTAGGTATGTTCTACATTTTGTTTTATTAATATGATTATTGTATATATATATATATGTATAATCATTTTTTGCATTTTATATATATATAGATGTGTTTGTATATGTTATATATATTATAAATCGAATGTGTTTTCGTATTGAAAATTTATATATATATATATTATAAATGTTTTTCAATGATATTATATACATATATATATATATTAGATTTAAATATATTACAATAATTTCAGTCCTTTCTTTGGGACCACCGCTTTTTGGCCAAGACAGCCATCCGCATCGCGGCATTGCAGGCCCTGTTGACGAGCTCTTTGAACTGGACGTTTTCACTGTGACTCACGTCGTTGGGGTGTTCACGTCACTAATAAATGGTGCTTTAATAGGATATATTATAATGTATGTCTATTTATATATATATATGATTAATAATGGAACATCATCTATAAATGCGATATTGATGGGAATATCATTGGATATAAATGGGATATAACATGGGATATATATGGGGTAGAACATGGGATACAAATGGGATATCAATGGGATGGAAATAGTAGATGAACACTAATAGGAAATTCATGTAACGGGATATGATTGGTTTCATTCACCAAATGTGATGGGATGTAAAGTTTCATCATTTTATAAGTTTTATTGCGGTGTTTACCAGATTCCATTTCACCCATGGAGATGTGATTGGGTACAACCAACAATAAATGGGAAACATATGGGATGTTTTTATAGAATATACTGGAATATATATATATATACTTATGTAACCAACAATATCAAGTGTGGGTGTGTTTGCAAAGGGGGTGTGCCCAAACTGTAGCATTTTATTGCTTGAAAAAATGATGATGAATGATACATCATGAAACTTGGAGGTATAGCATGTTTTCAGACGCGTTCGCACACATGTTTTGTTGCTGTCTTTGTCCAATAGCAAGGGCACCCAGTTGAGACACTGAGTGAACTGTGGCTGCCAGTGGTGTCGGCAGGACACCTTTGCATCTGGATTGAACCCCTACTCCGTGCATGGGATGACCGAGATCGAAAAAGGGCAGTTGAAATACAGGACGGACACGAAATGACGCGTGAAATGACACCTATTTGCGGGCGGAAACCGTTTGGAAAGGGGGAAAACTATATGATTTGACATCTTTCTGATCTGTGGTTACAAGGGTAGTGAGTGCTGACAAAGTTTACGAAACCCTTGTAGTGTAATTATCTTATCCCCTCAGCAAAGACCCTCAGTTTCACTAATGGAGGGAGGGTATATGCCAACCATCTGGGAAGTTCAGGTATTATGGCAAACGATGGCAAACGTGCTGGTGTTCGCTCGTCATGTTGGCACAAAATTCAGTATGAATGCTGAAAATAACCAAGTATTGGGACATTTGCCAATAAAAACCATGAACTATTTGCAATCGAAATTCTGAAATTCCGAAACTGGAATACTGTAGGATACCGTAGGATCGATTTGCCCTTCAGCTGCATTTTTTTTCTAACCGGTTGTAGCCACATGCAGGAGCCACCCTGGCATCAACACAGGAGTCACTTGGCCATGGAGCGCTCAAAATGTGGCAGTTTCTCATGGACCAATGGTCTGCCATTCTGTTCTTTTGGATCTACCATCATCAATTCAAGTTATATCAAGTTCTTAATTTCCAATATCCAAAAGCATGTTTTTGAAGAAAATCAATGAGTTCTCGGAAATAATGAACATTGGTACATATGAAAGAATAACTGTTCCAATGGTTAGTTTCCCAAACTACCAGTGTGTGTGGTTCCTGATATTGCGGGCACTCCGACGACTTGACTCCCATGAATTTCTTGCTTGACATTCTCACTTTTTGTGGCTAGATTCACAGTTCTTCTAGTTCAAATCCAAGTTTCGTTGCTCCAATTCCCCCTTGGTTTCCGTTAAATCCCCGTTTTTTAGGTGGTAAAGTCCAAGTTCTTTGGTAGTAGAGCTGCAGTGAACAGCCAAGTTTTTGGGGTAAAGATCCCTATGTCTTTCGCCGTCCCAGCGTTGAGGTGATGCTCCTTCAGCCCAGTTCAGAGGTCACAGCAGACATGGCTGGAGAGATGGCATCAGGTGACTGGTCCCAGTGGCAGCTTTTTTGAAGCAGATGGGTTAAAACCTATGGTTTATAACTCCAAGTAGTTATAAGTTATAACTATAGTTACTGGGGCTTATAAACCAACTTATAACTGGGGGGCCTCACATTGTACTGTATGAATTTACCAAATGACTGGGGGAACAACCATCCATTAACCAGCTAGATTCGGGTACCTAGAGTACCAGGGTTTTGACCCACAACCATTTGAATGACATATGCCTATATTGAACACATACATATGTTTATAATATGTTATAATTATATATATATATATTATGTATTTACATATATATGTTATAATAATCATATATTTGTTATATTATATACATATGGAATGAGTAAAGAAACAAGATTAATTATGTGGAATGAGTTTGATTTCACACCAGGTCGCTTGGATCGGTCCCCAATTGCTGAGCACTTGGGACGCTCTGATCAGCCTTGGCTGGACGGGAAACTGACGCCAAGCAGGGGATCATTGCGTCATAACATTTGATGATCATAACACTAGTTATAACAAATGGTATTTTATAAATGGATAATAATAATAATATTAATAATAATAACAATACTGATTATAATAATAATTATTGTTATTTTATGATTATAATGATAACCATAATGATAATGATTACAATGATTATATTATCATTATAGTAAATGGATATGTTATGATATTTTATGATTATATATAACAATAGTAATGGTACACTGGATTATGTGTTAATTCTCAACCAATATTAGCCTCTGGTAAAGTAACATAGTGAACTGGAAAATCACCATCTTTACTAGGTAACTCAACGAACTAAATGGGTCATTTTCAATGGCTATGTTAAATGGCCAGAGGGTAACATGATGCACTTAATAGTTGAGAAGTTCTATAACATGTTATAACCCTATTTTTACAACCATATTCACAGAAATTTGTGATTAAATGACTAAGGAGCTTCATTCCAATTTACATAGCATTGATTATTGAGTGACTGAGGAAATTATTCCAATTGAGCCAGATCCAATGTCCATATTATCCAGAAATTTGATCACGACCGAACCCTGCCACCTCACAGGAATGAAGAGAATTAGATTGGGGTAACTATCCCAGAATGGCAGATGTTTTTCTGGTTAGTGAACTATCATATATAATTTATCCTTGTGGATTCAATGGGTCATTGAATCTATTGGAAAGTGGTATGAGTATTAACAATACTATTCATGGAGGATGTGTTTTTTCCTACAAAATTGAAGCTGTTTGATTTTGTGGGTAATCAAATGTAAAAGGCACGGCAAGTATACCTCCACAGAAGCAAAAGAAACTGTCCACTGGGCCACATCCCTCCAGAGCTTCTGCAATCAAACATGGCTTGCTGGAAAATCCACCATTGATAGATGATTGTCCCAGGTATAAACCTCCATAATTTAGTGAAGGGATTTACCATTGCGATGTTTGATGACACAGGAGGCTAGATGATCTACCTATTCGAAGTAATTATTGGAATTGCCCACTTAGTCTTGTATGTTCGACTACCGGATACACAAGGGCCTAGTGGGCCTCCGTCGGCTGATGGTTGAACGAGGTCCAGGTATACCTTTCCAGAGAGGTATCATCTGAAGATATTTCAAGTATATCCACTCTCGATGCTTGATCTTTGCCATTCCATTGACAGGAAATCAGGCCCAGATATCTGCTTCCTAAACCTGGAGATTTGGGGTTTCCTCCCTGTTCCAGGACGCATTTTGGCTCCAGAAATCCCGACGTTTGGGCATGACCAGGCGTGGTTAAAGTTTGCTGGTGCTCTGGAGGCCATCAATTTCATGGTGTTTTACCATGGTTTTACACTGATTCGGGAAGTTTGGGATAGATTCATTTACAATTACCTTCTGGTAAGCTAACATAGCTATTGAAAATGGCCATTTATAATGGATTTACCCATTAAAAATAGTGATTTTCCATAGCTATGTTAGTTATCAGAGGGTAATCAGAATGATCCAACAAAATTCAAGAAATATGTACCAACAAAAAACAGAAATATATGTGTGTTGCTTCCTGTTTCTTCCAAACCAAAGGGGTAGCTCCAATCAGCGTAGCTCCAAATTGGACGATCCGAAATGGTCACAGGTTTGCACCGCGAGCTGATGGAAGTTTAGCCTTTGAAGGTTCCATGGAGAGCTGTGGGACGTAGTGGAAAAGGATGTAGTTGGAACACCCCCACTTTCACGTTGGAAGTTTAGCCTTTGAATCTTTGGGAAAGTGGGTGTGGTCCGAAAAAAAAGGGGGAGTTTTGCTCTCAAATTTTGGGCTGATGTGAGGAAAATGAGATGATTTACTGACGTAGTGAGGGTAATGAGATGATTTACCGTGAAGCCTCTGGATTTTGGGGCACAGTATTTTCGGACAAACTTGAGTGTGGAGTATTGTTCGTATTGTTACTTCCGACAAATAGTGTACTGTAGCTCTTGGAACCTTTTTCTGATGCAATGAAATAAGATGCGTCCAAGAAACTACAAATCTGAAAGCTGCCAGCCAACTGTCGGAACTTTTGGCAACATGTTTGGACCACTTGATTTCTGTGGAAGGTTTCTGAAGCCAGCTTCTACAATCTCAATGATGATCCATATGTTTTTCAGGAAAGCAAAATCATACCAACCAGATCTAACCAGCCTTGAAATGGTCACTAAGAGCTGGGGACACAGGTTGTGATGTGAGGTTCAACGTTGGCGCGGACTCCCGGTGACAGGCATAGTGGTGAGAAATCCGGAAAAAAATGAAAGGTGGAGATTTGGGAAGAGGTGTTCACTCATTTTTCCTACCCTTTCCACTGCTTCTGGGCAATTTGTACTGGGATGATCTTGGAATGAATTTGTCCTGTACTGGAAGGTGACAGGGTCTTGACCCAAAGCCATATAAGCTTGGGTACCTCAAACAATCACCCCATATTTTCTCATCTATGTTTCCACACGAAACTTGCCAAATCTTGCGAATGATTCTTGTGGTATGGCCCATTTTTTTGACAACTCCATGTTCCCACCTGGTTGATCAGTAGCTCACCGCAGCCTCAGCGCCTTCCAAAGAGACCCCACCGGGCCTGCGAACTGAGACTGGGGAAACGCCCGTCGACGGAGGCGCCTCAGTGTTCCTTGGCTCGGCTTGGATTTTAGGGTTCCAAGTGGTGAAAGTTGACCTTTGTTGATGGTGAAATGGTCAGTTAGTGGTTGGATTCCGCCAACTGGACATGTCGCCGTCAACCAGTAGCTTTGGGAGTGACAACTTAAATTTCATTTTTTGCAATGAAACAGCTAGAAAGGTTGGTTCATGTTTGTTGCTTGTACCCTCTGGTAAACACATAAGTATGGAAAATCACATTTTTTAATGGGTAAATCAACTATAAATGGCCATGTTCAATAGTTATGTTAGTTTACCAGAGGGTATACATCTAAGTTACTAAATACAATATGTACCTAGACCCTCCAGGTTCATAGAACAAAATGTGCAGCGAGAACCAATTGTTTTGAGACTTGTCCATTTTTATAGGTTCTTGGAGAGTCTAAGTATAATTTATAATATAATCATCATGAAGTAGATACAATATGTGCGATTTTCATTTTTCAATATTCCGAAAATTTAGAGGGGATTTTGTTTAAAGTTTCCCATATTCATTCCACATTCTGTCTGCTCCAGGATGGCTCTATACGCATATATAATTCTATACATGATTGGATTGGTGTCAACCAAGGACTGCAGCCAGGGAAACACTCGCGGCCGTGCCACCACGCTTCGAGGTCGGTAAAAGTCGATGGGGAAATGATGGGGAAATGATGGGGATAGTCTATTTGATAATCTAAGATAGCCATGGTATAGCTATGGTATAGATGGGCCCATTTAGTTCGGTGGGAATATATGAACAGATATTTCTGAATTTGCTATAGATAGTATTTTAAACATGGACAAACATGGATCAATTTTGATGACAATCATCCGGTTCATTTGTTCATTGGGAATTGTGTTCCTTGTTGACTGCCAGGCCGGTCACTTGACATGTGACATTTGTGGCTTAAGCCAACTCCAAAATGTATGAACATGTTACTTTGTCCTGCAATATACATTATATATATATATAACACACATTATACGTTGACCCCCCATTGTGACCCATCAGAATTGGCATTTACTCCAGATTCTAGAATCTTAGAGGTCCAATCATTTGCTTATGAGTAAACTGTGGGTCAAAGTATATATATATAATGTTATAATATGTTATATGATATGTGGTTGTCTAGTACTTTTCGTATGTATACATCATATCATTTATCTGGGTACATAATAAAATACCATGCACACCACCGGACTCGCTGAGTCTAGCTATGTATATCACAGTCATATCCATTTAATATAGATATCTGCATCTAATAAAATATGCTGCATATCTAGTATGTAAATATGTTTCATAATTTGCATATTATAGGTACTGTATATATATATACATACATATATATATATATATATATATCATAAATTTAATCTAAACATCTATAAACATCATGTACTATATGGTTACATAAACATCAATATTTCATCTAAACATCGAGGTGACCTGTCTCAGGCCCTGAACGTCCCTGGCCTCGCCAGCGGAAGTCGCAACGTCTCCTGGCCTCGCCGTCCATGGCTGTCCCCTGGGTCCAGTTGGATGGTGAAAAAACCCACCGGTTTCTGTAGCTGATCCTTTAAGAAACCATAGGATTTCCCATGGTGTAAACCAATCCAGTAAATCCCATGACGGATCCGGCTGGTGCTGGTATATATGCTAACATGACTGGGGTATATTGATGGGATCCATGGCACACCATATATAGCAGCACCATGGATCCTATGGGAATTTTGAAAATGATGGAAAATCGATGGTTTTTTTAAAACCAATATTGGGTAAACAAATTAAAACTGAAGACATGAGGAATAATTCTGCGGGAAAACTGTAGTTTGGCAGTTATAGACTAGAAAAAATGTCTAAAACTATCCTTAGTGATACCTATATTGGGAATGCTTTCCTCATCAATTTATAGATATTGGTTCGGGGGTTGTTTTTCAACTATACTTGGGATGATTTTTGGACTAAGTTAAAACCACCAACCAGGATAATATGCATAGATAGTATATTATGTCTACAGCTATCCTCAATGATTCCTATCAGAAACATGTTTTCATAGACAATCATATCTACATAGATACAAATCTATGGATCATTCATGGATCCCTTACTTTCCTTTTTCATATGGATCATATACGTAAGCCTTTGATTTTTGTCGTAGCAAATGGGACTTCACAAGGACTGCTGCCATGGAAAGAAGTTATCCAGCCGTTCATAGGTTGATACTTGGCCTGATGCAACTGTACATCAACATCATCAACTAAATAATAGGTCATCTGAGTGATCCCTTCCCCTACTTCGTATTTTCTATCCCTACATCAAAGCCCTGTTTTTTTTGGGCCTTGATTCACCATCCTTGGCATTGGGGGTATTGCATAGCGGCATGGCGCTAGTTGTGTCAGAGATTACCATCATGAATATCTTAAACGAGTATAGTGTAATAGTATGCAGTATGCAGTACTGATATAATATATCAGTACTGCATACTGCATACTATTACACTATAATATATATATATATATATATTATACATATAATATACAAATATATATATATATAATATACAAATATATATATAATATCTGGGTAAATTATAACGACCTCACTGCGACCTCACTGGAAATCATTGTTAGTAAGGGAAATTATCTCCAAATGGCCTTAATTCAGGTTAGTGAAATATTATAATTTACCCAGATAATATATATTCTTATATATAATATATGATATTATGCATATATAATATTATATTATATGTATATATACATGTACACATACACACATGTGATATATATATATATATACACATACTAAAAACAGAAACACACACACACAAATGTGCATACATTTGTATATCACAATGTTTCTTTGTTTGCGGTAGCTTGAATGTCTTTGGCCACTTGCTGGCCGTTCTCTTGAGGGAAGCCAAAACGGGCCCTGTTGCGACCTGTGAGTGCTGAACACGCAGGGATCCCAGACTTTCCTAGAAATAGAAATTGGCAGTATGATGCTGATACATAGGGAATCCATAAGTTGATGATAGACTACTGGTTGGTGGTTTCAAACATATGTTATTTTTCATAATATATGGGATAATCCTTCCCATTGACTAACATTTTTCAGAGGGGTTGAAACCACCAACCAGACCAATGTACTGGTAACTGGTAATGGAATCTAGTGGAATCTATCGGAATCTCTTTAGAAGCAACACATATTTCCAAATGTGCCATGGTCAAAAGTGTACACAAATTGGAGGATGGCGGCCATCAATCTATTCACATAGATTTAGATGCACATGGCAAGGCATCCCTACTGACGGTGGGAGGACCACAACCCATAACCATGTTTTGACCGTAGCAGATATGGTCCAATGGGGACTGTGTTAAGTCAATGGTACAGATGGCATGATGCGGTAGTATCATATACCATGGTACTCCAATTGATCATTGGAGGTGGCTATTTATCATCCACAGTTTGTGCCCTACACTACACCTCATCCCATCCCCAGAGGTGATGGGTAATCAAAAAAACAATCCGTAGAACATACTCCAAAATTGGGACCTGGGATTTGTGACGCAAAAAAAAATGATCTGGAGGTTTCCTGAGTCATGGGGTAGCCCCATAAATCATCCAGAAATCTAGATCGGACTTTCCATTGTCGACTTGTCGACCATCCATTTGGGGTACCCCCCATTTATCCAATGATTCCTCGTCATTCTTCCACAGTATGCTCGAGGCACACTGCGTTCTGCCTGTGGAATATGACTTCTTCGCAGACTACAAGGCAGGCCGAAGTTCGTTCATCTGCAGCTGTTGATTCGCCCCCTGGAGACGATGTTTTTTTTGATCCACAAAATGGTTGGGTCATGGGATGGTCTGTTGGGTTTACCATTGCTTTGCCACAGGTGCTTCCTTGACAATAATGGAAACATCAACAGTTCCGATCTTAAATCCAAACGCTTTGGGTTTAATTATGAACCCAGGATAACCCAGGATTTGGTTGGTTTGGTACAGGTTTTACGTTTATCCCTTCTAAAGCCTATGGAGCACCGTTTTTTTTTTGTGTGCGGCGAAGGCCATCCGAATGCACGTTTGGCCGCGACCCAAGGATAGGGAGCCGAAATCGCAGGGTTGCTAGGCTCGGTTTGGGGTTGAATCCATTGTGATTATGGTGAAATCTCTTTGAAACTATATGAAACACCAACAGATATGATAAGTCCACAGTGTTGCTTTGGATATGAAAACATATTAAAACCCCGGAGGTCTTCTCAGAAAAAGCTACTCAATAGATTGGTTTAAGGCAACCATCTATAGAAGAAAACCAGAGTTCTTCTATTACATCTCTGGGTTTCCTGCAAATGTTCAGGTCGGAGGCTCGGACCCGAGCAACCGCAGGTGGGGTGGTGCTCTCTGATGGTTTTGGATTAGAACAGCTGCCACAAGTTACCCTGGGATTTTTGATGCAGCAAATCTTGGGTAAAGCCACCTCTATCAGGATGAAAAACATGTTGGTTCAATCCCATCTGTTCTTGTTTTATCAAATTATGTGCTTGCCCTTTGTTCCTTCCAGTTTTGAAAGATATCCAAATACATCCAGCGTCCAAAGCTACGTCAGGGGCGATACCTGCAGATGAGAACATCACAGACATTGCTTGGGTTGGGGAGCCAGGCTCCATCGGCAGTTCAGCTATCTCCCAAGCAGTGGCCGTTTAGGTAGACTGATAATCAACCATAAGATTCGCAGGTTCCCTATTTTCAGTATTACGGTGATGTTTTGTGGATTTTCTAGCGTTTAAAAGGTTAAGTTCTAGAGAAACTCTGCCAGTAGCACCATCTGGAAAGAAACGCGGTGGTCTTTTGGCTACGAGGATGCGCAGTGAAGGGCCATGTAGCATTCCCAAACCAGGCAATGCTTGGAATTGATCCTTTCCTCCATGGATTTACCCAGCCACACTGTTCACTCACAAACGGCAAGGACCATGGCTGTAGATAATGCATGGCATGGAGGACATTGGAGGACAGACATAGCTGGGGAATTTCACCTTGATCTGTCGATTTCAGAGACTTGGGATGACTCGAACGGACGGATTCAACATGTTCCACTTGCCAAATGCAGTGCAAGCTGAAGATCTTACTTTCCCCAATCTTCCATAAAACATATAAAACGCTCTGACAGAATCAGTGTATTTTAGGTCTATATATACAGAACACAGATTTTCGATGAGTGGCCAGCAATTTCGCCAAGGCCGTGAAACAATATGTGGAGGACCACGATCACCTGCTTGGCGATCGTGGGGTCAAGATCCTTCATTGGCCTGGAGAGTCACTTGGCGCTTCCACAGGTTCCACAGGTTCCACAGGTTCCACGGGTCACGTATTTGGGTGAAATTTCAACATCCACGTAATCCATCTTAATCCACTTTCCATGTTTGTTTTGGGTTTGAGAATTATATCTATAGATTCTGGGAGTATTTCAATATCCACTTTTTAAGGGCGGTTTGGAGGGTCGCTAAATTTCACCCATAGACCCATATACCGACTCATAGGTGGGTTGTGTAGTGACAGTCAGAATGTATTCAGTCTATTCAAAGTTCCACCAAAACCATAGTTTGCAGATAGCTAATGATAGCCAATGCATTCATGATTGGATTATTCTTAACGGTTAAAACATACGGCAGATGTGTAGTGTCCATTCCCTGCCAAAAAGCTTTGGCGCGAGTGACTTCCCTCCAGGTTGAGGAAGCCCTGGCACAGATGGCACGAGGTGCTCCTAATTTCGCCGAATTTTCAACGGGGAAAGAATAGCTCAACTGATGGGGGAAGAATACGATGAACATCTCATGATTCCAATGATCATGGTTTTTTTCGATAATTTTGATGTGTGTTACCCTCTGGTAATTTGTTACATAGCTATTGAAAATGGCCATAGAAATAGTGAGTTTTCCCATTAAAAATGGTGATGTTCCATAGTTCTGTTAGTTTACCAGAGGGTAGTTTTCTTCTACCCGTCGGTCAACGGTTGGTTGGCCATGTGGATGGTACATGGTGGAGGCAGTTCGGTCACCTTTCGATGAAGAGTGGTGGAAGGCGCACGACGAGATGTGCTTGGGGCTCCCGGAGGTGGCTATGGGTCAATGGGATATTCCATAGCCACTGTGGTCAGGGCCTGAAATGGTGGAAAATCCATTGTAAACATAAAATCATATAAAGGATTACAGCATTTACATGGGACATTCACCATTCACCCCCATAGGATCCATGGTGCTGGTATATATGTTAACATGACTGGGGTATATTGATGGGATCCATGGCACACCATATATAGCACCATGGATCCGTCATGGGACCTATATATACGGGGGATTTTCCAGCCCGGTACTTGGTGGAGGTCGTCATTTTTAACAAATGGATCCATTTGTTGACCCAACCACTGTTAAAGAATGAGTCTATATTTTTTATGGATATATCATTTATCGGTTTTCTATGAGCACAGAACATATATATATATATTATCATATTCCCTAAGATCCAAACACCTCCTGAGAAGGTAGTTAATCCCCAAAATCATACCCCAAGCACTTCCTAAGAAGGTACTTGGATCCATGAGGATTATATACGTAGATATATAATTTATCCGACAATGAGTATATCTGAGTATGTATCTATGAAAGTCTATCCACCGGTTCTTTTCAGTTTCCAGTCAAGTACTGCAGTGGTTTGGGTATTCCAATCCCACCCTCAGACCCATGTTATACCATGTTATACGCATGACCATCCTCCAGCGTTGAAACCTTCGGCTCAGGTCAAAAAAGTTCCGCCGCGTGTATCCTCCATTGTGATCAGCTGAAGTAGTCGCGTTTCTAGGGAACCTGAGGAAGCCAGTAGCAGAAGACTGGATCTGGGCTGGTCTAGAGGACGTTTCGTAATCAGTGAAGCTCCAGTGACGGCTCGCTCTTTCAGACAACTGGCGGAAAGGCAAAGCATTCTGCCGCTGTTCCAGGGACATCTCTGCTACTGGAAATGTACAAAGTAGACTCGGAGCGGCGAGTGCTAATGCACCAAGACACTGCATTGGTAGTAGATTAGTAGATAGGTAGATAGGCTATAGCATGCTAGTAGCCAAAATTGCACGGTGGCGGAGCATGCTGTTTGTTGTCATCTGTACTATATTTGTACCAATGTGTGCGGATTGGCACTATTTGAAACAAACACTCGTACTGTGGAGAGGTCTCAAGAATGATTCACAAGACTTAATCCAAGTCATTTGGAAAATAACAGTAGCTAAAGTGGCCAGTTGCAGGGTTCGAGTACAGGACTGGGCAATTCACTCTGAAATCTTCCGTATGTTTTTATTTGGTTGATGGTTTCAAATTCGTTCAACCATATCCCATAGGATCCATGTATGGTATATATGCTAACATTTGGGGTATATTGATGGTAAATGTTACCGTATATAGCATACATGGATCCTATGGGCAATGACTCAGACTTTTCAGGTTGAAACCACCAATCCGTTATCCTCACCGCGACTCAGAGAGATATGCCAATTGGATCATTTCTGATGCTGCGATACCAAAGAATCACCAGGTGGATGAAGGGACAAGTGAAAAAATTAGTGAAAAATATCAAAGTAGTACCTTACATAGTCCCTTCTATCATGATCTGAATTGGATTGCCGGTGAACACCAGTCAGTTTTCGGTTTAAATGTTCCTAGTTGGGGACAGAAGTGTAAAGCGCCAGGTCCTGGACAACTACTTTTTTGCCTGGCCCTTAGCTTCGATGCAGACGGGTCACTCTCCACACTGGATCGAGATTTTGCTAGTGTCCGAATCTATCCTACTGTTTCGAAACCGAAACCGAAGAACATCTTATGGATAGGAATACCCATGTACGAACCGTATGGAATTCCTATATCCATCATGGATCATCATGGGTATTAGCCAACATTACCAAGAATATCCATGTTGAAGAACATGTTTTCCCAACATCTACATACATAAATGACCCATAAACAGGGGCTGGTTTGCCTGTCCCATTTTGGGAATATAACGGACATCACCAACCATAGTAGCCATCTAGTAGACCATATACCATTCATGGTTGGGTGATGTGACCCATGGGGGCATCAGTCATGACCCATGATAAATGACCCCATGGTAGGTCCAGCTAGGTTTTACCTTTAAGGTGGGCCTACCAAGGTGATGGACCCCATTAAGATTCATCAGTTAGTTTGCTATAGTTATACTATGTTATACAGTTCAATATATTATCTGTCATGATTACCACAAACCCTAGTAAAACTATATAGTTATATATATATAATATATAATATATATATACATATAATATATTTATGATGATTTATTTATTCTGATTATCATAAACCCTATAGTGAAATATGAGTGAAACTAGTGAAATTCCTGAAATATGAGTGAAATTTGCCAAGTCCGAACTCAACTTTTGGGGATAGGGTGAAGCGACAGTTTCGCTGAGGATTCACGGGCAAAGATTCCCATTTTCCCCAAGGACCGTCCTTCTTCACTCCGTATCTTCTGGATTCTGGGTATATAACCACTATCTATCTATCTATCTATCTATCTATATATATATGTAACCAATAAATACCAATAGTAGGTATATCAGGATCATTTTGGATCACCCTTATATAACCACATATAACATCATATAACCAATGGCTCACTGAACTTTCAGGTGCCCAACCGATCCAGGACCCGGTGTGCCGCAACTTTTATGCGGAGCTTTTGCGCTGGCCCAACCGCTACCGGGACTACTTCTGCTGTGAACGTCCGGCAGATGCGGCCATTGCCTGTGGGAAGCCGGAGTGGAAAGGCCGTGGGTGGGGGAAGTGGCCATGGGAGGAAATGTCCGCAATGGATCCCTCAAGTAATTGTGTATATTTATATATATATATCCCATAGGATCCATGTATGCCATATATGGCAACATTTGGGGTATATGGATGGTAAATGTTACCATATATAGCATACATGGATCCTATGGGATATATATATATATATATGGAGGTTTTCATAAATGGGAATACCCCAATACTGTAGCTGGTATTTATAACTGAAAATCCTATGAAAATGGATGATTTGGGGAGTACCACCATTTTCGGAAACCTATGGGCACAACTTGGTGATGTTGGGCCCCCAGGACAGCGGAACTATTTGTGGGACCTCAGCGGTTTTCCCGAGGAGGACGGCCTGGTTTTCCATCTGGTGATCTGGGATACTCCATAAATTGATCAGTTCGGGAGCTGTTCCATGTGTTCCATAGCGGGATCAAGTATGATTTCTGGTGCTTTCCGGCCAAAAAAAAACAATTGTGCATCGTCGGCAGGGGCGAGAACCCCTTCAAGACGGCAAATGGCAAAAAATGGCTTTCCGATATTTTTGGCGGGGTTGCATCACAGGAGGTTCGAAGACTCTGCTACTCCATCCGAGAGGTCTTGGAGATGAAGGGAATGCATCTTGGGCGCAGCTCAAAGGGTCACCCAGACCCCAGGGCCCCAGGGTTTGTGGGAGAGTGGGTCGCAAGAAAGTTATGGGATGTATAGATCAACCTAGATCAACTATGATGGGAACATTTACCCTGGGATATCATGAAACATGGGATAAATATAGCTAGACATAATTGATTTAACCCACAACATGATTGTTTGGCTGTGCCTGCAAATTAAGGGAGCATAATGACCAAGTATGGGATTTTGGGCACATCTTCAGACATAAGGATGGGATTCTCGAAACATCTAAGTCATGTCAGAGAGCGCAGTTTTTTGGACTCATGGACCGATGGAAGTAGTAGTTGGTGCCTGGGATCGGCATTGGTCAATCTTACATCCTTACTTTTACTGTTATCACCCTCTTTTCCGGAGTATATTATTATGTATAATAATAAATATATTACATGCGTAGGCGTATACCGTAAATCCTTGAGTACTATCCCATGTTTGCTGCTTGGCGTTTCATGTTGCGGATATATGGCTGACATCCCAACTTGCCTCTGCCAAGGTTCTTCATGGGTCGTGTTCGCCGCTCCCTACGAGCGGCATTTCACAAAAAGAATCCTGGCGAATGCCCTTCGGCGTCGGCGAAATTGCCACATTTCGGGATTTCAGCCACCAAATCAGGGAACATGATGGAACATCCATGATTTCGGACCAGGATTCGGGGGAGCTTGGGGATGCAATCTGTTACACATGGGAGTCTACCAACTTGCAGATGCAGGATCCTTACATCAAGACAACCAGTAATTTATGCTTTCTGGAAAAATGAAGTATCACTGAATCAAAGTGGAGGTCTGAACATGCGCCAGATGGTGGTATGTTTGCTTACAACAATAAACCAAAGGTCTGGGCATTCCCCACTGAGCATGTACATTAATGTGTGACCCACAATCACAATTCAATGAACCCGAGTTGATCAAACATGTTGGAGCCGCTGTATGTACTTTTCAGGGTATGCCCAGTTGTACTTAAACAACACAACATAATAGGGGATGGCGTACTGCATGGTGGATCCCCTAAGCCGCTTCCAGGTATGCCTGCGGCACCGCTACGTGCGCTGGGCTATACCTCTGCTGGTGGCTGTTTTGCCACGATTGGCAAAAACGGACACTCGTCTTGGAGAAAGTTGATCTATGTTGATCTTAAAACGGATCCTTACATGGACTAGTCCATCCAAAATGGGGGCATTGAAATAATCAGTTGCCTTGTAAAGGTGACGACATTGTTGCCGGTGTCATTGGCCATATTCCTGCGGTGAAATATGGTTGGAGTTGGTATCAACGTTGGTAGATTATGAACATGACCATACCATTTTATAGGGAATAATTACCCATAGGATCCATGTATGCTATATATGGTAACATTTACCATCAATATACCCCAAATGTTAGCATATATACCATACATGGATCCTATGGGTTATGTAATGTCATGTCCCCATGGATCCAAGATGATCCAAGTACCTTCTAAGGAAGTGTTTTGGGTATTTGGGGGGTACCTTCTCAGGAGGTGTTTGGATCCATATCATGTAATTACATGTAATTACCCTGTTGGACAAACCCAAATGACCGGCCTGATGTCTCTGCAGAACTTGAGGAAAGCCTCTAAGCGCACTGATGAAGATCGGATATGCATCAGGCCGGTTCTGATTCTGTCTCCTGGTGTCCATAAATGGGGGTACCCAAAAAATCCATAAAAATCACCAATAGCTGGATGGTTTATAATGGAAAATCCTATTAAAATTGATGTTTTAGGGGTACCCCCGTTTTAGGAAACCTCTACATGTCGGAGACAAGTCGGTGCAGTGTTACTGGAAACTGTTGACGTGCAAATCAGATGAGAGTGGCAAGTACTGAGACCCTCCAAGTACCAGTGCAGATTTGCCAAAGTCACAACATCATGGGGTGTGTTACCCTCTGGTTATGTCAAAATAGCTATTGAAAATGGCCATTTTTCATGGGTAAATCCACTATTTCTATGGCCATTTTCAATAGCAAACCGTTAAATTACCAGAGGGTACCATATTTTTTCTAGCTTAGGTACTGGCTTCGATGGTCAATCAATAGGTCATATGGTCATATGGACACTGCATACTGCCACCGCCGTGCCATGGTCAGGTGGAAATGTGTACAGCAATAAAATTGTGCCGCTTGGCTGAAAAGAAACGATTTGGCTTGCAGGTCATGGCAGGGATAGCGCAACTTGAAGAGGAAGGGAACTTTGAAGAGTCTGTAATGTATGTATGTAATTATAGTTTCAGTTTATATACAATATTGTGTAATAAGTAATTATAGTTTATATACAATATTGTGTAATAAGTAATTATAGTTTATATACAATATTGTGTAATAAGTAATTATAGTTTATATACAATATGGTCTACATATATATATAATAGATATGTAACACTATTTACAATATAAACAAGTGAATCAGCCAGGGTGTACCCTCAGCACGTTTCTTGCAACGCTTGGCTTCTGGAAGTGTTTGGTCAGCTTTGGCATGCTTCAGGTTGATGGATGAAGCCCATAACTTGGTCAGAAACTTGGTCAGGAACTGGATACTCCAAGGATATCCAAGGCAT